GTTTCAGACCAGGAAGTCATGCCACATTTTGAATAATTTGGGGTTTTTTTGGTACTAGATCTGAGTAAAATGTATTGCTTTTTGTTCAGTACCACGTATTTTGATGGATGTATTTATCAATTAAAACAGTACAGTAGCTTGACTTCATGAGGTTAAGGCTAGTTTAATAAAATTCAGAACTAAATTTGTGTGTTTCATGATGGTCTGTGAAACTGGATTTGAGTTGATTTGCCATGAAAGCTGTGTGACAAGTGGTACAAATTTAGATATTAAAAAAATGCATGCCTAGCCAGGCATGGAAGGCACAGAAGATTTGCTTATTTTGTTTTCCATTTCAAGTTTATGTAGTTCTCTTGCATTTTACTTGGGCTCTGCTGTCCTGTCTCCTCATATTAGACAGAACAATCTTTAAGAAAAATAAGTTAAGAAAAAATGTCATTAAAATGCTATATGATCTTCAGAGGTGCGTGTTCACATAGGAGATGTAGTTAGCTGTGATTAATCATCCTAGATGTTCTAGCTGAAAATGTGTTGTAAAGGAGGAAAAAAGCAAGCCCAGAAAATCCTTCTGTATTCTCTGTTTATTTTTTATTTAATTTTTATATTTATTTTCTGCTTGTTAATTTTTCCATAGAAATCTGGGGTGGGTGGGTTTTCTTAACAGTTTATGTAAAACACAGTGGCATCACTGCATTCTGAGACTGGTTCTGATGTCATTGGTTTAAACTTCACTTTCACAGACTTATCTGGCAAGAGATGTAGGTCCTGAATCTCTGATTCTCTTTTTTCTTTTTTTTTTTCTTTTATTTAAATGCACTGGACAGAAATTGATTGTGTGTTTTATTCATCAGTTATATGTCCTGATCTGCACTGAGGAGAGAGTTAATATATCACTAATACACAAACAATTTGTGTGCAATTTGTGTGTATAATTTGCATGTAAATCACAAGGACAATTTTTGCTTCTGCTTAAGATCTAAATCTTTTGCCTTCTTAATGTAGAGAACAGATTGTATAAACAGACAAGGACAACTTATCTTTGACTGGTGGTTTTGGAGATATGTCAGAAAACTTGCACCCAAAAAGCAGCATAAACTAGAAGGGGCGTGCACAGATTTGCCTGTATATGGAACGCTTTACAAACCCATTAAAGCGGAAGTTTATATACCTATATCAAGAATATTTCTCATATAGACAGTAATAATTGTAGTAAGAGGAGCAGAGGTAGTTGTCTATGAGATCTTTGCTGACTGGAAAGTGGATGTATGTAACACAACGTTAATGTGCACTATTTTGATAACTGAATATAGCCAGTGTTTGGAGTTTTATTTTATCCATGTAAAATAAAATTCCTTGCCTCATCATCTTCTATGTATTTCATTATTTTGTTTTATAATAAAATAAAAAAAGATAACAGTATAGTTCTTCATGTTGAAAGCTCCAAAAAAGAATAGCAGTTTGGATTACTTCCTATGGCTTACGTAAAAATCATAGAATCATAGAACGTTTTGGGTTGGAAGGAACGCCTAGAAGTCATCTAGTCCTGGGGGCATATATTGGTGAACATAAGCAAAGTAAGAACGCTAAATGCCAAGTTATATTGCACAAGGTTATTGTGCAGGCTGAACTGTTTATAAAGCACTGAAACCTGTATTTGCAGATGAAAACGAACATCAAAGGAGGATACAATCTTTTTTCTCTTTCCTAGTAATTATTTCTGTATGTTTTAGCTGCCTTGTGAAGATGGTGTTCAGAGTTGTGAATGACTGCTTGTCTCACAGACATGTACACACATTGCACAGCTGAGTCATATTCCGTACCAGTGGTTCAATATCATTGTGCAAGCTAAAATAGCATTTCTATTGTTCTGTTATTAAACAGCTATTTTCACATTCTGAACAGTTGAAATAAAAGAATCAGAGTAAGTGTTACCTACAGTATATTACCTTCTGTGGTGTATGAATGATGCGTGATACCCATGCTAAAATCTTAGTCCTGATTCACTGGTTTTCTTTAGTCCTGAGTTGATTCAACAACACTGAGAACTCCAGTTACTCATGAAGTAAGTAGTGAGAAAGGTAGTAGGCCTATGGAAGAGCTGAATAAATGAGCAAGGCCTTGGAAATACCTGATTATTTGAAAATTTTGTGTGGTTGAAGGAATTTTTTCCCAATATTTTTTCTGTGAGTGACGAAGTCTTGAACAGGTAAAGTATACTACTATTAAAAGCTTCCATCAAAGACTTATAAGCATGAACAGCTCTAGTGTGAGAGAGGAACAGAAGCACTTTTTCTTCACAAATTATAAATCTGTTTTGCTTATTTTTCAAATTTTGAAAAAAATTGGGGAAAAAAGGGGTTTGTTTCTGATTAAGTTTTTCATTGAATTGCACCTTAATGTCTATTATCACTTTACTGTATTACACATTTTTTTTACTCTGTTATGCTATTTTACTCTATTACACTGTGTGGTGGGTTGACCCTGGCTGGACACCAGGTGCCCACCAAAGCCACTCTCTCGCTCCCCTCCTCAGCTGGACAGGGGAGAGAAAGCGTAATGAAAGGCTTGAGATAAGGACAGGGAGAGATCACTCACAAATTACTGTCAGAGGCAAAATAGACTTGACTTGGGGAAATGAATTTAATTTATTACCAATGAAATTAGAGTAGGATAATGAGAAACAAAAACTAAATCTTAAAACACCTTCTCCCCATCCCTCCCTTCTTCCTGGGCTCAACTTCACTCCTGATTCCTCTACCTCCTCCTCCCCTCCAGCAGCACAGGGGGACAGGGCATGGTGGTTGGGGTCCTCCTCAGGGGGAGGACTCCTCACACTCTGCCTCTGCTCCAGCGTGGGGTCCCTCCCATGGGAGACAGTCCTCCATGAACTTCTGCAACGCAAGTCCTTCCCACAGGCTGCAGTTCTTCATGAACTGCTCCAGCATGGGTCCCTCCCATGGGGTGCAGTCCTTCAGGAACAGTGGGTCCCCTGTGGGATCACAAGCCCTTCCAGCAAACCTGCTCCAGCCTGGGCTCTTCTCTCCACGGGTCCACAGCACCTGCCAGGAGCCTGCTCCAGTGTGGGCTTCCCATGGGGTCACAGTCTCCTTTGGGCATCCACTGGCTCTGGCGTGGGTTCCTCCCCGGGCTGCAGGTGGATATCTGCTCCAGCGTGGACCTTCATGGGCTGCAGGGGACAGCTTGCCTCACCATGGGCTGCACCAGGGGCTGCAGGGGAATCTCTACTCCAGCACCTGGAGCACCTCCTCCCCTCCTTCTTCTCTGACCTTGGTGTCTTCAGGGATGTTTCTCTTGCATATTCTCACTCCTCTCTTTAGTTGCAGTTGCTGTTATGCAGCAACTTTTTCCTCTTCTTAAATACGTTATCCCAGAGGTGCTACCACCATCGCCGATGAGCTCGGCATTGGCTAGCAGCGGGTCCGTCTTGGAGCTGGCTGGCATTGGCTCTGTTGGACATAGGGGAAGCTTCTGGCAGATTCTCACAGAAGCAAACCCTGAAGCCCCCCAGCTATCAAAACCTTGCCACATAAACCTGATACACACAGTTTCACTATAATAAAGCTGAAGTAATATTACTGACCCTGGATTTTTATGTAGTTTGTGACAGCTGAGTGTGTGCTCAACTCTCACTGGGTATGGAGCAGCAGCTTCAGCAGGTAGTGCACAGCCAGCTGTTTCCAGGTGACAATACTCACACTGTTAAATACAGCAGATATATGTGTGACTTTAACAAAATTTATTCTAGTTTGGACTGTTAGCTATTCTTGTTCCTATGTTGTCGTTTCTTTAACTTTCTCTCCCACTTTGCCTGTCTCAGAAGAATCTTGTGTCTAAATAGCTGCTAAACACATATATAAAAGACAGATTGATATTTGTTCATTAAAAGCAGAAAATGCGTGTTTGAACAGACAGAGGAAATTACTACTTTGGTTATCCAGGCTAAAGGAAATAAAAACTTGTTAACTTACAGGATAAAGTATGAAATTTACGTGTATTTCTAGTATTCCTATGATTTAGTATAGCCTAAAGCTTTTGGAGCATGTTAAAATATATTGACCTACACCTGCTGAATATCTTATAAGTAATTTTTAATTGGCTAATTTCTCTATAAGCATTTAAATTTTACAGGCCTCATCTTGTTTTCTATCCAAATCCTTTGTGGCTCTACAGGATGTAAAAGCCATTGTGGGAGTGGTGAGATTTGGGAGCGTCAGTGATGCATTCATAAAACTACTTGACAAACTAGGCAAGTTTGCTCAGTGAGAAAGTTGAGCACCCTTGCTGGGGAAAGGGTTTGTTGTGGAACTCTGCATTGGTTTAGACACTCTGATGGCTGGACAAAAGGTTGGCCTTGTATAACTCAAGAGCAATTGCCCTCACTTAAGAAACATTGCACAGGGTAAAATATATTGAGAGAAAATCCAGCTTCTGTAATTGTTTCTAATTCTGTGCCTTTTTAGCGGATATCTTAATTTATTCTTGTGAGGTATTTAAGTGATACACAAAGAATTGGTGTTGTGGGTGGGACCAATTCTGTTGTCAGCACTGTACAGATAAAAAAACTGAATAAGCCTATGGTGATGGAAGGAAATGAACTGGATATCCTCATTCTGTGGTTTTCCTGTTATTGAGGATCCTCCTCAGTAATCTGATAGGTGAGCAACAGGAATTGTGAATATAGGTATAACCTAGGATTGACATTGTAACCTGCTCTGAATAAAACCATAAAACTGTACAAGGAATTAACTGTTTAACATTTCATGTTAATCAGCTGGAATGTCTACATTTAATAGGTCAAGTAGCAACTGAGAAAACTTAGAAGTTGAATTAACCTGTGTCCTTTCACAGATTTTATTACAAGTTGTTACACTTGACCTAATCTATCTTTGGCCTGCAGTCTTCAATTTTCAAAAGTGTTTCTCAAGAGTAAAAGCTTTCTTTTTGCTTTCTTGATATAATGTATTAACACACAACTTCATTTTCTGGTAGGGTGCTTTGAGTGTTGCATCAAATGCCTGGGAGGTATTCCCTATGCCTCTTTGATTGCTACCATCTTGCTGTACGCTGGAGTTGCACTGTTCTGTGGTTGTGGACATGAAGCACTTTCAGGAACCGTCAACATTCTGCAAACCTACTTTGAGATGACAAGAGCTGCAGGAGATGTTCTTGATGTCTTTACCATGTAAGTTACCAGTTTCTTTTAACTGTTTCCTTTTAAAACTGCTGAAATATTCCATACGGCATGTAAATTTCACTCAAGAAAATATGTTGTAATGAAAATCATAGAAAGTACAATTTGGATAAGCTCAGCAGATGAAGTTTTGACAGACCTGATATTTTTACTATTAACAAGTGATTTATAATACTATTTAATGCCCCATATTTATCATTTAATTAATATTACTTCATATAATATTGATTCATCTGTTCCATACATGTTTGCTTTTATCCTTTTTATCCTGTGATAATTTCTTTCCTGAAATGTATAAAAAACCCAAAAGAACTACAATAACAAAAAAACCCACCCCACCAAACCTGAAGAGTTGTGCAGAACCCCAAGACTCGAAATGTCAAACCTCTTTCCTCTAGTTTTCCAAGAATTCATTTGTTTTTAAGGTTTCATGCTTTGCTACTCCTGAAAATCTGTTTCTGGAAGGCCTTTATTTTGTTGAGCATCTCCTTCCATTTGGTACATTTAACAAACTTGTTTACTGTAACCTGAAGTTAAATGACGTATTTTCTAATTCTCTTGTGTCTTTTAAACATGATTTTCTTAGATATTTGAAGTCCAAATTCTATCTGGCTGCTAATGGTTGCAACTAAAGCTGAAAAATTCTATCCTCAAATTTGTAAGCCTTTTCTTTCATTAATGTTTTTTAGAGAAGTGAAGTGATTTGATCATCTATCAAAACATTGACTTCTTATGATGGATAGTTCCACAATAATAGCATCTCAGTGCTTAGCAGTGGTCAAAAAGCAAACAAAGTACCAGAACTTCTGGGAAAATCATAGAGAAACAGAGAACATACTTATGCCATTTTATAAATCCATCTTTCACCCATATCAGTAATACTGCATGCAATATTGGTGCCCCAAAGAAGGCAAAAAAGGATGATTAGAGTTATAGAACAGAGGCTATATGGTTAAAAAATGAGTATAGTAGGACTCTCTATGAACATCAGCTCTATTGTTTGTGTAATTAGTAGCCAGAATGGAGAATGTGCCAAGTAAATATGTCACTGCTATGCCATCTTCAAATTTCTTCTCAGGACTGAGGAATTTAGATGTTCTTGTATAAAAATATATTGGGTTGATGGGAAGTATGTGACAACTTCTGCTTTGCCTTTTTTGGCTTGTCATTTAGAATAATCGGTCTGACTTGACTTGGTGGCTAAGGTTCATTGTTATACTGAATTGAGAGATCAGTCATTTTATTAGGCTCTAACTTATTTTATTAGTCCCTAGGAAGCCATTAGTGCAGAACAGCCACAAATCGATGCTTTCTCTTCATAGCAAGTTTTCCAGCTTCCCTCTGTCAAATACTTAAGTGAAAATATCAGTCAGGAGCCATAGTTCAAATGCATATAATTCACTAGAAATGATTAAGGAGCTGTAAAGGTGATTTTTTTTTTTCTTGGCATTTATTTTTTTGGCTTAGCTAGTAGCTTTTTGGTTTCTTTGGCTTTTTGTTTACTTAAAGATTCTTTCCTTGGCAGACCTACTGGAATTGAAATTTCAGTTTATTCAGTTGTGAAAGATGTCTCTAGAGTTATGTCTTAAAGGCAGGAGGAACAAATATTTTGACTAAAGGATGAGCCATTGCTTTTAACTAGATAAACTGTGTGAATCTCAAAGAAATTTGCACTCGTTAATTTTCTACCTGCTTAAATAGGTATTACTCTTCTTTTTAAAATAATTTTGTAGGGAGAAGAAATTCTTGATATTTTGTCACAACTACTGATTAACAGTAGGCTGTACAAAAGCCCTATGGTAATTACATTGCTTTGAAAGACCAAAGTGCAGAAAGGAAACATATGTAAGTAGAAACAAACAGTGCAGTACCTACATTCTTAAAACTGTAGATATTGAAATGGAAATAAAACCTACTTGTTTATTGTTCTGATTAGAAATAATAAGAATTAAAAAAAAATCTAGCAAGCAGTGTGCCCTACTAAATTATACTTTTTTAAGGTTATTTAAGATATTTTGGCTGTTAATGCTTCTAGTTCTGTGAAGTGTCTGGGGCTGACCTGCAGTCCATCCTTCTGTGATATATATGCTAGGGAGATGCTGCAGTGGAGTGAAGTGTGTTAGGTTCTGTTTAATCACACTCGTGGTTTCTGTCTGTATTTTTATTAGCACAGTGGATTTCAAATGTCATTCAGAATAAAAATTGATTCCTATCTAAGAGTTACTTATGTGGGTGGTAAGAGATAAGGGGTTTTTTTAACTGTGCCCACAACTGTGTGTGTTCTAAACTCAAATAACACAACTCACAAGCCACCCTGTACCTTTTATCTTTGTCTATACAGCTACTCATTGCAATTTAAGAGAGGCAGCAGACACCATAGAGGAAGTAAAGAATAATGAGGGCACAAACAAGATCTGAAACACTCTTTAAGTACCTAAAACAAAAGCCAAAGTACTGAAATCCAACAAAGCCATTCAGAAATGTCCATGTCAATGTCCCTGAGGACACCAAAAGCCCTGACTGTCCCTTCCTGGCCTCCCCACTACATGCCCATGGGCCAGGACCCTATTTCAGCCCAGCTTGGGGATCTCAGTCCCTCACTATGGACTCACCTGGCCATGGGGCTGGGGCTGCCCTCTGGCTGCCCTGCTCCCTGGCTGGGTGCTGGGATGGGCCCTGGCTGCCCCATGGGGAGCTCTCGTCCCGTGTGGTGCCCCGATACTTGGGGAAAGATGAATTAACTAAGAACCTGCAATAGGCCTGGAAGTCCCCTGGGAGGGCTCTGCCCTTGGGGGTTAAGACAAGAGACCCCCTTGGGTGTCTGAGTGCTGGCCCTGCAGAGTGGACATGGTCCCCGATTCCAGCTCCCCAGACTCTTATCTGAGTTCAAATAATATATACCAGCTGCAGTTCATATCTGCTTTGGAAACACTAATAAGTAGTAAATATTTATAATTTCAAAAACTAAGAGCAAGTTTTGCAGCTGGCTTTAAAATTCTTTAAATGCCAGGCAGTTAAGTAAATTTTCTCAAATTTATTATTTTCTTTCCAAGCTAAAATATGGAATGATCATGGTGAATAACTCTGAGGTACTGGAGACATCCTGGAGAGATACTGGGTGGGGTAGAGATAGTGCTTTTATAGCAAGGGTTTACAATAAAGAATGCTCTTTTGCTTGCCTATTGGGGGGTGGGGGGTGGGGGAGAGAGGGGAGGAGAACAAAACAAAATTTTCCCTGTAATAGAGTGCTAAAAGCAACAGTTTCTAAAAAGTAACAATGATTTTTTTTTTTTAAATGATTTTTTCTTAAAGTAATGGGTTACAGCCTGAGTTGAATTGTTTCAGGGTGATGCAGGTAAAACACATACTTTAAACTCTTGAAAACTAAAATAAGTCAAATGTGTTCAAATTCATGAGTACACATACTGTACAAAAAGGTATTCCTTATGAATTGGATGGTTATAAAAAACATTTAGAATTATCAATGAGTGACCTTTTCTTTGGGACTAACCACTAATTATATTGCTTTCTGAATCACTTCTGTGAAAATTCACTCCCCATGGTCCCAGACTTCTTCACTATCAACATTATCACTGTTCTAACAATAGCTGCTTCCCCCCCACCAGTGAAGAAATGCCTTTTGGGGGACTTAATATACAGGAGTCATAGGCTGTTGTCTGGGATGTGGATTCCTTCAGCTGATGTAGTGATTTTAGCTCCTTGTGACTCAAAGGGATCCTAAGAAAATAAATATGGTGGTTTAAAATATGTTGGAAACTGCCTTTATGATATTTTAACTGTACGAGTTGAATGGTTTGTGTTGCCCACTTTGTCAGTTTAACAGCTCTTTAGGCTTCACTGAAACTGAGTAATCTGCTTGAGGTAGATGGTGGTATTCAGTCATTCTTCTAATAACTTAATAAACTGCAGTGGACACTCTAGCTCCAAAGTACTGGCTATAACTAGGTTTGCTTACTTAATCACTGATTTTGACAAGATTCCAAAGTCAGCAGAAATAGATGTATGGTTATCAAACGTGTATTGTATGAGCTGGATTTTTATATTTTTCTGGCATTTGGAACAAACTCCAGAAGATGTTTTTTTTAAGGAAAGCAGCAGCACAAGGTATGTTTGGTGTATCTCCCAACAGCATCTTTTCACAGTTCTTTCTCTTTAGTATACAAGGCCAGTTAGTGGCATCTGTCACATGGTTGTGATATATAGGCCACAAAATAAGGGAATCACGCTCTTAGAGGGGAAAATGAAGAAATCTTCCTGATACAAACATTAACAACATTTTCCTACTACGGTCAGAGCTAATTTAGGTAGTTGTAAATTCACTTCCTTTTAAAGGTGTGAAACCAAATAGTAAACTAAATGAAGTTACAATCTGTAAATCTTTTGTCACTATCTTCTCTGTTAGAAGTGCCACATATACTCTACTGGAGCCACCTTCTTACAGCTAAAAATTTCCTTCCTTTCAAAATGTGAAAGCCTGTGTTTCAGGTGCTATTGTGTCCGAGTTTAATGCCTGCTGATAACTTTTTGGTTAGTCAGTCATTGTTTATTAAAAGGATGTTATTTAGTAGTATACATATGTATGTGCAACTGTTTTCTTTTGAGGAAAACCAAAAGAGCATGCATAGAAGCTTTTATATCCCCCCTCTTATTGTTTGAAACCAGTGCTTTGAGACGTAGATAAATGGATGTCATTCTGATCTGCTGCTGCTCTTTGTTTTTGTTGGCTTTGCAGCTATCACAAGTTAAATATTGGTACCATTAGAAATATTATTGTTATCATTAATATTATTGCGCTAATATTAATTGAATACTCTGAAAGGTATTACAAGGAGTCCTGTAGTAAAGGCTCACTGATATGAAACACGATACTTATAAATATTTGCATTAGACCATGTGACCATTCTGTTTTAGTCATCTACTTAGTACGCAATAGTACTAATCTGGTTTTCCCTATGTTTGTTCTGTTACAA